GAACTGATGTACTTACACACGTACGTACAAAGTTCTACGTTGCATCTGACTGACTGACTGAGATTAACCTTGAAAGTTTCAAGAAACAAGTACACCTTTCATGAAATGAACCAGCAGAAAAAATAACACACACACACACACATAAACACCGAAACATACTCTTTCATTGTTTCATTGTGATGTTCCGCCAATAGTTTACGTTTTTCCACCTCCAAATCATTGATTTTTAATTCTAATTCACAAATTTGTGATTCATATTTTTTCAATAGTAAACAATACGATTCATCGCCTTGTTCAGCTGCAGTTTCTAAACTAATCAGCAAGGCGTTTTTTTGATGTATTGTTGCTTCTATAGTTTCAATGCGTTGTTTACATTCTAAACGACGTGCACGTAATTCAGAACCCCAACGATCTATAAATAAAGAGTAATAGTAATAATAATAATAATAACTGGTTATCGCGGTACATGAACAAAACACTCTATCATAGACATAAATGTGCACACAGAAAACTTAGATTCCTGTGCAGATTATGTTACGTCTGCATGTAAACACGTCATTTGAGATATACTTGAACTATTACGAGTTTACCTTAGTCGGAAAACGAGAGTGGAGATCGAGGATCCGGTGACATAACATGCTACTCTAATCCGAGTGTCCTAACCCCCATTGAATAAACGAAGAAGCCTTGATATGAAGTAGAACCTGTATTCTACAAGCATCCAGAAAGTACGAGGTCCGAGTCCAGAAGAGAATCATGATCCCGAACTATGGATCTGGGACTGGATCCTAGTCATAAAACGTTACAGATAATGCGTATTTATACATTTAGGTTGAATAGGAAACAACATTGAAGTCTGTGACATTGACAGTTAAGATGATCAATAGGAAATAACATTTGAAACGACATTGACAGTCCGGATGACCAATAAGAGACAACAATGAAGTATTTGACCTTAACAGTTAAAACGACCATAATTTTGACCAATAGAAATTGACCAGTAGGAATTAGCCAATAGGAATTGACCAATAATTCTCTTAGGATATTGGATGAATATCCTAACAGATTATGAAATCATGCTTGAATACACTTACATTACAAAACTGTTACGCACGCACGTAAACACGAGTTACGAGTTTACCTTAGTCGGAAAACGACAGCGAGAACCGAGGATACGGCGACATGACATGCAACTCAAATCCGATTATCCCAACCCCCCCCGTTTGGGTAAAAGAAGAAGATTTGATATAAAATAGAACCTGTATTCTACAAGCATCCAGGAAGCACGAGGTCCGAGTCCAGAAGAGAATCAGCATCCCGGACTAGGGATCCGGGTCCGGCTTCGGGTCATAAAATGTTACAGATAATGCGTATTTATACATTTAGGTCGAGTAGGAAACAACATTTGAAGTAAGTGGCACTGATAGTTAAGACGACCAATAAGAAACAACATTTAAAGTATGTTATATTGATAGTTCGGATGACCAATAGAATCATCTTAAGATATTGGATGAACTTCCTAACAAAAACATAGCTCGTCTGGACAGTCGGTGGTTGGGCAAAAACCTAACACATGTCCCAAATACCTCAAATGATGAAAATTCAATACTTCGTCTATTGATCACATAGAAACCGTTTCCTAACAACTGTATTGTTTACTCGATAGTTCCAAGATAAACGAACAATGCTTCTGAGACACCGATGATCGAAAACCAGTGACCTACGAATTATCCTCAACTCTTACTGGTCATATTTCACAGCCATAAAGTAGGACGGAGAGAACTGCTGAGCAGTACACTCATCCTTTCGTTAGCCATAAGTGACGCAGGTTGGCAAAATCCGATTGAGTCTTTCGTAATTGTACTAAGATCTCGTCACACAACATGCCATTAGCACTGATGAGATTCCCGAGAAAAGTGAAGCGGTCAACATGGTCAACTACTTCACTTCCTATCACTAGTGCAGGTACCGACGCGAGCCAATCTTGAATCAGCATTTTATATTTCGAGGAGGAAAACCGCATCCCGAACATGCTTGCATTGTTGCTTAGGGTAGTCAGAAGACTATGCATTTTGTCAGCGTTTTCACCAAGTAGAACTATGTTATCGGTATATTCTAAGTAGACAAGTGAATCAACGGGTAAAAGTTCAATTCCTGGAAAGTCATACGATGAAAGTGTTGTCTTTGAAACCATTTCAATCACCAAGTTGCATAAGAATGGAGAGAGTGAACAGCCTCGACGAACAGCACTTCAGGTAGTCAGTTACGATGACAGTTCGCCATAAGCTCTGACTCGACCAGTGGTGTTCGAATAGAGAGCTTGTATACGGTTAATATACTTCATTGGTACACCTTACAATGATAAACATTGCCATAGAACCTCAAAATCGACAGAGTTAAATGCCGATTTAAGCTCAAGGAATACAATTATTGTTGGACGCCGAAATGTGTCTGTGTCCTGACCTGACGAAGAGCGAATATCTGGTCTATACAGCCACGTCCAGATTGGAAACCAGCCTGGTTTTCTCGAGTTTGCTCTTCACCAGCTGTAGTTAGACGTCAAAGTATTATCGAGGCTAGCAATTTAAACACTATATTAGTTAAACTGATTGCCCTGTACCACTGAACCAGCATTTGACGGTGTTAATCTCTAACTCGGATCAATCTAAGGATTTCTACACAACCCCATCCATTGTCTTCGGTAGTTACTGCATACACCCGACAGGGTTGAACTCCACTGGTCACATCTCACTAGAACTCCGAGAATTTCCTGAGAAGCTAGTCACTAGTGAGCACATTTCTTGATTCTACACAGATGAATCATTGTCAGACCACCACTAAAAAACCTGAAAGAACTGGAAGACGGCCACTTCGTCCTGGTACGGGACCCATCAGCGGCAGTAGACGCATCCAGGACTCCCGCAACTCGCAGGATTCGAACCAACATCCATCGGTTTCGCTCGTGAACGCTCAACCTTTCTAACCTTTCTAAAAAATCATCTTAAGTCAATCATCAATAGTATTTAACTGCAAAAATGTGAAATTTCTTGCGAAGACATGCTCAGAGACTGACTTACCAACAAGTTTTGGTTTTGTTGTATTTGTCGTAATACAATTATCATCGATAATTTCATCAGAGGTTTTCAATGGCATTTTTACATCTTCCTCCTCTTCTTCGTCAATGTGGTCTTCTTCAACTGCATCAAAACATGCATTGTCTGATTGAATTTCAGCTAATAAATCAGACGATTCTTTATAAGCATATTCTAAATCGTCATTTGTCATCTGTAAAATTTAAGTTTTGCAAATGAAGCATTTCTCCAATAAAAAATGGTCAACAAATGATAAATCGAGATGATTATAACTCATAGATATGTATGTGTTTCAATTCTACAGGAAGCACTACGGAATTGTCCCAACGCCGTAGCGGTTACCATGATGCGATGGTCAGCCTCGCCCATAGTGATGACCTAATCCAGCTAGCTAGCTAGCTATATTGGTTGGAAC